ATTATTATGTATATATATATATATATATATATATATATTATTCCCGTTTTTAATTAATAATTTGAATATTTAGAATTATTTATATATTTGTTTACATTTCATTTTAGTTTTAGTTAAATTTTTAGTATTTAATTTAGTAAATGTAATCATTTAATATATACCTTAATATTTTATATATTACTATTTAGTTATTTCAGTTTAGGTTTTAGTTCAGTATTCATTTTTCTTTAATTCCAGTTTAATTCCACTTAAACCAATTTAAATCATATAGCCTACTATTATATACTCAAAATTTCACTTATACTATTTTGCATAAGTTTTGTGTAGTTTGCATTAATATTTTGAATTAGCTTTTATTTTTATATTTTAACTTTAGTGACTTTATTATGTGGTTTTGTCCTTTTTCAAGTGTTTATTAGTTGTAGATTTTTAAATATTATTCAAGTTTAATATATTGGCAAATATAATAGGTTTTACTCTTTGGAGCACACAGAGAATTCTCTCGCTGTACGCTGTGTGCATCCTGTAGTAGTGTATGCTGCAGGAACCGTGTGAGCAGTAGCTGATGTGTTGTGTGTGGTTTGTGTAGCTGTGTGTGAGGCGGGCTGTAAACACGGCGAGTGTGTTGGACCGGATCAGTGCCGCTGTCATCCAGGATTCACCGGCAAGACCTGCAACCAAGGTACCACACATCAACACACACACACACTTTCCCTAAAAACTCAGCTATGAATACGAGCACATGTGAAAGTGTGTGTGTGTGTGTGTGTTTTGGTCATTAACACACAGGTGTCCAAACGTTCGAGCGGCCGCTGGGGTTTGTGTTAGTGACTGATGGCAGATCTGTGTGTCTAATGATGCTTGCCGGCCTTATGGGAGACGTATTAGGATCTGATTTACTGGAGAAACACACGACAGCATGTTTGCTTTGGCCTTTCTGGCTCTTGAAAAATCTGAAGAGCGTGATTTGATATATAATTCCTAGGATTATTTATGGAGAGTGAGACTTTCAGGGTGAGCTGGTTTTAAACAATTCTTATTAGTCATTTTTTTAGGTTCTTGTGGAACCAAATTCTGCTCCCACAGAAAACAGAGAATGTTCTGGTAACATAACATAAACGTTCTAGTAACATTAATAGAAAGTTCGTTATCTGGTAATAATGTTCTCAAAACATTTAAATCATGGAATGTTTTTTTCCTGAGACATTTAAGTTAAATGTTCGTCTGTCTTCTTTTTTTAAACGTTACTACTTGTTTCGGAACGTTCAGAGAACATTCAAAAGTAACGTTTGAAAAACAACTAAATGAAACATTTTAAAAACTGGACGTTTTGAACATTCTGAGAACGTTCAAACATTTTTATAACCTAATGGGAACGTTAGCATAAACATACTTGAATTAGCTTTTATTTTTATATTTTAACTTCAGTGACTTTATTATGTGGTTTTGTCCTTTTTCAAGTGTTTATTAGTTGTAGATTTTTAAATATTATTCAAGTTTAATATATTGGCAAATATAATAGGTTTTACTCTTTGGAGCACACAGAGAATTCTCTCGCTGTACGCTGTGTGCATCCTGTAGTAGTGTATGCTGCAGGAACCGTGTGAGCAGTAGCTGATGTGTTGTGTGTGGTTTGTGTAGCTGTGTGTGAGGCGGGCTGTAAACACGGCGAGTGTGTTGGACCGGATCAGTGCCGCTGTCATCCAGGATTCACCGGCAAGACCTGCAACCAAGGTACCACACATCAACACACACACACACTTTCCCTAAAAACTCAGCTATGAATACGAGCACATGTGAAAGTGTGTGTGTGTGTGTGTGTTTTGGTCATTAACACACAGGTGTCCAAACGTTCGAGCGGCCGCTGGGGTTTGTGTTAGTGACTGATGGCAGATCTGTGTGTCTAATGATGCTTGCCGGCCTTATGGGAGACGTATTAGGATCTGATTTACTGGAGAAACACACGACAGCATGTTTGCTTTGGCCTTTCTGGCTCTTGAAAAATCTGAAGAGCGTGATTTGATATATAATTCCTAGGATTATTTATGGAGAGTGAGACTTTCAGGGTGAGCTGGTTTTAAACAATTCTTATTAGTCATTTTTTTAGGTTCTTGTGGAACCAAATTCTGCTCCCACAGAAAACAGAGAATGTTCTGGTAACATAACATAAACGTTCTAGTAACGTTAATAGAAAGTTCGTTATCTGGTAATAATGTTCTCAAAACATTTAAATCATGGAATGTTTTTTTCCTGAGACATTTAAGTTAAATGTTCGTCTGTCTTCTTTTTTTAAACGTTACTACTTGTTTCGGAACGTTCAGAGAACATTCAAAAGTAACGTTTGAAAAACAACTAAATGAAACATTTTAAAAACTGGACGTTTTGAACATTCTGAGAACGTTCAAACATTTTTATAACCTAATGGGAACGTTAGCATAAACATACTTTTGTTCGCTGGGAGTGTAATATAGTATTTTAGTTTTTTATAGTATTTTATAGTTTTTAAACAAAAGTTTGTCTCATATGCCTACATTTTATAAAAATACTGCTATTTAAGTTTAATACATTTATATTTCAGTTTCACTTTATTTTTATTTATTTCCAGTTAATATAGTAAATTTGGTACTTCATCTTAAACTTATTTTAGTTACATACTGTTATATATTTCATATTTCTGTTCTATACAGTTATATATTTTATTAATATTTCGAATTAGGTTTTTTTTTTTTTTTTTTTATCTTTTATATTTACACTGTGTTGAGTTTTTGTCCTAACCAACATTCAACTATGACAATGATGAGGTACTGATTATGTGCTTTATGCAATGTTGAAAGTGTCTAATGTAAGTTTAAATATCATATTACAAGACATTTATAGCCATACTGAAAGCAACAACAGATAGTTTAGCTCAGATGTTAAAAATAAATTAAAGCAAACATGAACATTAAAACTGCAAACACAAGGCGAACCAACAAGTGTATTCCATAAAAAGATGGTATCAGTCACTCAGTATGTACATTTAATGATGTTAAAAAGATTCAATATTAATTAATTAGATCATAAACGCTTCCAGAGGGACCCGCCCACGCACGCTTCTGATTGGCTGTCGTGTTTGATTGATTCTGGCTGGTGTGGACACACAAATTGCTTGTTGCTGGAATCTTGTCGCGTCGCGTGTAGTTAGGACTCTGTGTTATATGTACAATTTTCTTTTTCATTTTAGTAAAATTTTTTTGTAATTTTGATTTGTGCTTCTGTCAGTTTTTATTAGTTTTTATTTATTTTTGTTAAGTAACTTTTATGCTTACACTTCAACTTCTCGTGAGGTGTTTCTCTCTCTCTGTGTGTGTGTGTGTGTGAGTGAGTGTTTCTGCAGGGA